GGCGCCAAAACGGCCCACGAGGGCCCCGAAAACACCCCCACGATGTTTCCGAATGCCAACATAAAGACCCCCAAGGCACCCCAAAAAGCTTTCCAAGGGGCCTTCAAAACACAAAAATCGTCCCATCCCCTTCGTCAAACTTACAAGTTTCGCATATTCGCCTTTCGGATTTCATCAGCTTTCAGAACGATTTCAAAGCCCCCGAGATCGCCTCAAGACGCAACGAAAGGCCCCCAAGAAAGCTTCAAGACGGCCGAGCCGGGCCCCACGATCGCCCCAAGACAGCCCATAATGGAACCAAGAGGCCCCCCAAGGGCTCCCAGCACAGACCCAAAAGGGACATGGGGAGGTCCCCGGAAGTGCCCAAGATGGGTCCAAAGGGGGCTCCAGCGGGCCCAAGCTCCCCAAGACGGCCCAAGAAGGCGCCAAGACGGCCCATGAAGGCGCCAAAACGGCCCACGAGGGCCGCGAAAACACCCTCACGATGTTTCCGAATACCAACATTCATTGATTTTGCTCCCATGACATTTCACATTGTGACCCAGTCGTTAAGGGTCTCGTGGCATGCAGCGAAGATGCCCGAGGATGCCCCGTACGAGTTGCATATGCATGTTCATACCCTTACACGCATAAATTTACATGTACATATGTACGCTGTACACACATACAACAATGTAAGTATATTGTATACACCTAAACATGCATACGAAACGTGCATGCACGTGCGCGTGTATACATGCATGCGCGCATGTACGCACGCGCGCAGTCCGCTTGCGTGCAGAACCAAGGTGCATGGCGCGCAGCGCCAATGCAGTCTTGTATATATATATATATATATACAGATCGGAGGTGAGGGGGTGAGATCGAAAAGGAACGGAGAGCCCCCCTTCCGGAAAATCGGTGTCGGCTTCATGTTCGTGCGTGCCGTGCGTGCGGGCGAGGCGAAGCTGCGCGGGCGGGCGAGAAGAAGTCTCCTCCGGCTGAGGCGCGGCTGGACCAAATGTTTCCTTTCCGGGGGCCGGTGGGGCGCGGTGTCCTGCCGGTGTCCCGCCTCCGGCTGAGGCGCGGCCGGACCAAATGTTTCCTTTAAAGGGGCCGGTGGGGCGCGGTGCCCCGCCGGTGTCCCGTCGGTGTCCCGATGATGATGCTGAGGATGATGTCGATGATGTTGTTGTTGATGATGATGGTGATGGTGATGATGATGGTGTCCTGATGATGATGATGATGATGATGATGATGCTGATGATGATGATGATGACGATTATGATGTTGACGATGTTGTTGATGATGATGGTGATGATGATGGCCATGGTGGTGATTATGATGGTGTCCCGATGAAGATGATGTTGATGATGATGATGTTGCTGATGATGATAATGATGGTGTCCCGGTAATGATGCTGATGTTGATGATCATGATGATGTTGATGATGATGAGAGGATGGGATGATGATGATGCTGATGATGCTAAAGACGATGATGATGGTGCCCCAGTGATGGTGGTGATGATGAGGTTGATGATGATGCTGTTAATGGTGATGATGGTGGTGATGATGATGGTGGTGCCCCGATGATGATGATGATGATGATGATGATGATGATGATGTTGTTGGTGATGATGATGATGATGATGGTGCCCCGATGATGATGATGATGATGAGGATGATGGTGAGGTGATGATACTGATTTTGATGATGGTGGCCCGATGATGTTGATGCTGATGTTGATGAGGATGGTGTCCCGATGATGATGATGGTAATGATGATGACGATGGTGACGATGATCATGGTGTCCCGATGATGATGATGATGATGATGATGATGATGATGCTGTTGGTGATGATGATGTTGTTGATGATGATGGTGATGATGGTGTCCCGATGGTGTTGATGTTGATGATGTTGCTCATGGTGCTGATGAGATGATGGTGTTGAATGTGGCGGTCCGATGTTGATGATGATGATGCTGGTGCCCCGATGATGATGATGCTGCTGCTGATGATGGTGACGATGGTGGTGTCCCGCTGATGATGATGGTGATGATAATGATGTTGAGGATGATAGTGATGAGGTGATGATGATAATGGTGCCCCGATGATGATGATGATGATGATGATGGTGGTGATGATGATGATGACGTTGATGACGATGATGTTGATGATGATGACGTTGATTGTGAGATCGATTGTGATACCGATATTAAGATCGATAGTGAGACCGAATGTGAGATCGATTGTGAAACCAATCGTGAGATCGATAGTGAGATCGATCGTCAGATTTATTGTGAGATCGATCGAATAAAATAGATCGAGTGGGATCGATTGTGAGATCGATCGAGTGAGATCGATCGAGCGAGACCGATAGTGAGATCGATCGTGAGACCGATCGAGTGAGACGTTGGTGCCTCCCCCCCCGAACCTCCTTATCACCCGAACTGTGGTCGTATAGATATACCACCCCGGATTTGCGGATAGGAGTGAGGGGGAGGCGAGGACGGCGGCAGTCTGCGGGGCTCGGAGGAAGCCCGCCGCAGGCGCTTACAACTCATCAGTGAGCCCGCCGCAGGCGCCGACTTTTTCGCTAAAGCAATGTAGGTGGGTCGCGGGGTGGGTCTCGGGTGGGTCGCGGGTGGGTCGCCAGCTGGGTCGCGGGTGGGTCGCGGTTGTGTCGCGTGTGGGCCGCGGGTGAGTCGCGGGCGGCTCGCGGGGTGCATGGTGGGTCGCGGGTGGGTCGCGGTGTGCGTCGCGGGGTGGGTCGCGGGTGGGTCGCGGGTGGGTTGCGGGCGGGTCCAGAGTGGGTCGCGGGTAGGGTCGCGTGAGGGACGACGACAACTAACAGCACCAACCCGCACCGCAGAACTTCACTTCAGCCACGCGCCCAGGGACAGTGCATGACCGTTCGGCCCCCTCACGCTGAGATACTTACATACATGTACATATCATATATATATATATATGTATAGATGTGTGTATGTATAGGTTCGAGTGTTTGTGTAAACGATTCTAGCGTTCTCGCCTTTTCGGGCGTTCGATGCTCCGAGACGGCCCAAGAGGGGCCCAACACGGCCCACGCGGCTCCCCCAAAGGCCCAAGAGGGCTATGTCGCGCTCTCCGCCTCAATATGAATCCCGAGACCACCAGCAGGCCCCCAAGCGGGCCCCCAGAAATCCAAGGGCGCCATTAACGTGCCCAAAATCAAGCGCCAGGAGGCCAACACGAGCCCCCGAACGGCCCCAATACACTTCTACAACCACCTCGAAAAAAAAGGCGTTCGAGAGGCATCCCACGAGATCTCCATAGACGTCCAAGATGCCCTCGATCTACATACACACTAGGCACCTTGGCGGCATGGGCCGAAGACAACTAGTATACTGTATCGAATACGTTACACCACATATATTGGAGCTCCACGGTGCAAGCGCTTACTGTTTGGGGGCCCCATCGGCAAACATTGCAAAACGAATGCGCGCTGCGCTGAAGCGAGAAAGACAATTTGAGAGGAACCTCCATCCACCCGAGCTGGTTTGGAAACTGTTCAGACACCTATGAGCGGCGCTGAGGCGAGACCCAAATTGAAAGCCACGCGATCCCCACCCGTGCCACTGTTGGGCATCTGGGGCGAGACTGGCCAGCTAGGGAAGAGAGGTCAAAATAATAAATACCATTAGAAGGGTGAGGACATGGAAAAAAAACACACTGGAACAGATGACATCCACTGCCCTTCGAGAGGGCTATCCCGACATCGGACAGCAATATCCAAAACGCACGCATTTCTGCTCAAGCAGGATGCGACTACGAACGATGTGTGCAAGTAAATGAAATGTTAGGTCTGGGCCAAGGGCCTCCCGATTGGCTCTAGCCACGATGAGAAAACAAACGACCGACGGCCAATTTCGTTGCGTGTGACACCTGCAAAGCAGAATAGGCGGGCACACACCCCCCACATCAAAATCGCCCGAATTACTTCCGCAGGCCGAAAGATTTTCCTCTTGAGCCCCACATGTCGGAAGCGGCGCGCCGTTCAGGTGAGCGGATACATGTAGCGCTCGCTTCGAGGTGGGGTAGATGTGTTATGGGTGAAGATGCGGGAGTTGGCCGGGCCCGCTGTGGCGCTCGAGCAAACTTATGTTGTGGGAGGACTTTCGGGAGATGGCCAGGCCCGCGGCGGCGCTCGAGCAACCACATGTTATGAGAGAAGTGAAGGGAGGTGGCCGGGCACGCTGTGGCGCTCGAGCTTTCGACTTGGACACTTTGCTTGTGTGTCCTCGCCCTCCCTCATCCCTTCATTTCCTCCTCCTCCTCCCACTTCCCCCCTCCTCCTCCCACCTCCTCCCTCCTCCTCCTTCCTCCTTCGTCCGTCCGCCTCCCTCCTCTCCCCTCCCTCCTGCCTCATCCCCCTTTTCCTCCTCCTTTTCCTCTTCCTTCTTCCTCTTCCTTCCTCGTCCCCCCCTCTCTTCCCTGATTGTTCCCCCTCTCTCCCCCCTGCGTCCCCTCTGTTTTCCTCCCACCTCCTTTTGCCTTTTTTCCCCATCCTTCCCCCCTTCATTCTGGGAAGACCCCCCCTCCCCCGTAGAATCATAGCGTTGGTCTGCAGATCCACAGCTCCGTGGATACTGGGGATGTAGCATGATGCTTCACTTGCGGTGCTCCGCGGATCCAACTTCCCCTGGGTCCAATATGTTAATTATTATTATATATTTATTCCCGGAAAATAATTGGATCCGTCGTTTTTTCACACACAGGAAATTGGATCCGCGCAACACAGAAATAGGATCCACGAAACTCTCCCACACCCGAAAATGGATCCAGTTGGATCCGTTGATGTTTTCATATTGTTAGTCCAAGACGAAAAAACTTTCGGCCTGGGGATGTATTGCCCTAGCCCATAAGTCCAGATGTTGGAGGCCCGCCCGTGCTGGCCACAGCAGCCACACGCGGGTGCGTCAAGTTAAACGCGGCGAAGGAATGCTCATAAGGGAGAGAGGGTGGGGTCCGCGACCGCTCCTCCTCCTGCATCCAGAGCGGCATCTCAATGGTGCACTTGTTCTGCTTGTCCATCGCGAGCGCGGCCTGACAAGGAGGGAGGAAGTGGGAAACCTCGGCACTCGATCCTCAAGCGTCACCGGAGGTCCCTGTACGCCAGAGGTCCACAGAAATAATCAAAAACACCTGGTGTTTGCATGTGTGCTTCTATGCCAATGAAAAGTTTATGTTATGTGGATGCCTGGAGAGCTCTAGACGCCAAAACAAAGACACCTCGCATCATAATACATGGCAGATTCCTCTCGCTTCCTTTTCCCAGGACCGGGAAGAGGAGCCCAAGACCTCTAGAGGCTCAGACAAAAAAGGAAACCGCATGCCTCAACATGAAAGATTCATTGCGCTTCCTCCCTCCTAGAGAGCAAAGGGAAGAGGAGCGAGAGCGCGGCCCAGAGCGGGACCCTGACCACCGAGTGCGCGCGGAACGGCCCGAACTCACCCTTGATAGTCTCCACTGGGTCGTCGCTGGTGAATCTGGGGATCACAGTCACCTCGGAGGCCGCCCTGATGGGGCCAGGAGCGGATGGGGTCTGAGGATCGATGCGACGTCTTGATCGAGAACGTCGGGCTCCAGATCGCAGGGCATCGCCGACACATCAAAATGTGGTGTGATCATGTGGCCCCATCGAACTCCTCCTTTGCGATTTTGGGAGGCCTGGACACCTGCTCCTCCAAGGCCAGGAAGTTGTCGTCGCCGAGGAGCTTGCTGGTCGTCTTGGAATTGATGAACAAGGCAGAGCCGTTCTGAGAGCCGCCTTGTTAGTACGTTCGCCGACTCCTGCTGTCCTTCCTGGCGCAATGACTGACGTGGCGAGAACACAGTTTAGGCGTTGAGGTATGTTGTGGGTGAGGCGAGGGAGGTATAGAAGAGACAGAATCCGAGACATTGAGCGAGGGGGGAAGAGAAAAAGAGAGAGAGAGAGAGAGAGAAGTTGGCTCGATATTGCTGGCCATGCACTCCGTCGTCTCCATGCTGGCCTGGTGTGAACCCGAGAGCCCGTCTCGTTGCTCCTCCTGCTTCTGCTCATCAGACCTCTGGATGCGAATACGGCGTGGATGGGCTGCAGCAGCGAGTCAGAGTTGTTCATGTGGGACTGCTACGCCCTGGCCGAGAACTGGAAACACGTGCCTCGACACCCGTTAGTTGGATGATCACGGTCTTCGCGGAGCTGGTCATTGGGGACCCCAATCAACATCATCGATTATTTTTTTGCGCACCACGATGATTTCCTCCGCTACCCCCGAGGAGTGAGTCTTGAACGCCGCAGGCGACGCTTTTGTTTTGCCCTAACACCCTGCACTTTATTTATAGTATGTATATATACACATGAAGATCCCACTCACTGGAAGAGATCATTGCCAGCTTCGGTAATCCCCATCATAATGATAAGTGGTGATATTGCCCACCATGAGCGTCTATCATGCGTGCTACTTATCACTCTACATCATCTAATACGATGAGTCGCACCTTTGCGTTGCTAACGCGAGTTACGTGGAATGAATGGTTGCGTAATGCATATGGCCATTGGGTGGTGTGCTTACTCGGGTACATGGCATAACCTCACGGTGCCCAGAACCTTCAAGTGATACCATGAGAAATCTGCGGACAAGAGATCTAAACCACACTTCCCATCATTGCTCGCTTTCGTAAGTTCCCTCACGGGCTCCCCAAGCCGAATCATGCTCTGAGGCGCCTACCCTAGAACAACACATCACAAATACATCGTCATGAGCGTTCGACGGCCGGCCCAAGTTTCTTGCATCTGCGCTGGACCCCCCCCTCCCGCGCCAGAAAAAACGTGCGCCGATGCGAGAGATCTGCACGGAACTCCTCCTCCCCCTCCTCCTCCTCCTCCTCCTCCTCCTCCTCCTCCTCCTCCTCCTCCTCCCTCCTCCTCCTCCTCCTCCTCCTGGGGCTTCCTGTTCAGCCCGTGGCTCTGCAACGCTGACCAGCTCAATCTTCGAATCGCTCCTCGCCCTCCTCCCCAGACCACCGACGCCGTGCTCTCTCACAGCGGGGACCTCCAGAGGTGCCAACCTTCCAAGGCCGCGCTTACGGCGATGATGGTGAATGGCGATGTTGCGATTCTGGTTTTTGTGACACCGAGCTCACGCAGAACAACATGTAGCAGATCACGAAGCGCCGTTTCCTGCATTTCAGATGTGCGAATGCATCGAACGAACACGATACAACGAGTCATAGGAAAACACGAACCACGCGTTCCTACAATTGGTTTTGCCACGAACCACGCCTTCTTACAACTGGTTGTCCTACTTCGCCGTTGGCTAAGATACCATTAGCGCGTCTACGGGCCCTGCCCCGGGAACTGGCCTTGCATCCTGAGCTGTTTTTTGCTGGTCACGGCCCCTGCGCCTGGCAAGGGCCCCCGTGATACCGAAGACAATCACAAACATGCCGCCCGTCGTGGCTTCCGCCGCAACTCACTGCTCTCCACCCTGGCCCCGCCGCCTCGACATCCTTCCTCTCTTCCTCCTCGCCCCTCTGTCCTCCTCGCTCGTCGTCAGATACTCGTTCTCGAGATTCTCGGAACCTGCCAAGAGCCATTCTCTCCACTCATGCGTCGCCGCGGACCCCCCAAGGTCTGGACCCCTTCCTTGAGCAGGGACCGACAGTCCCGGCCTTCCTATAGGCCTACCACGACATCTTCTCAGAACCCACAAATGCTCCAAAACCCTACACGATGTTCTTCGAATGTAATCCCGATGTATTAACACGAGACAGTCTCAGACAGTCTCAGCCAAAAATGTTCTAAGAACAACTCGTGCAAACCACACAAGGCTCTGAGAACATCCTCCGGTGGGCCTATAGGCAAGCCAGGACGCCTCGCCACTGCTTGCCATACATCACCGCGGGCCCCCCGAGGTCTGGACGCCTTCCTCTGGATCCGCTTTTCATCCTGAGCCGTTTCCTGACGGTCCCACGCTCACGGCGAGGGCCCCCTGCAGAGCCCGGCGAAGGCTCCCCCCAACGGCTGGCCTTTGAGATCCGATGTGCCGAACAAAGCAAGGAAAAACCACAACGGGGGCCCTCGACCGCATCTCTCTGCTGTACTCTTTCGAGCTGAATCGGTCCGCGAGGGCCAGGGCCGGAAACAGGGCCAAACCGCTCGTTCTGGACGACACAATGCGACGCCAGAATCTCAGATCGGCTCACGCATTATCCGGGATAGAAGTGGTCTGGGTAGGGGGCAAAGCCGTGTTGGGTGACCGTTCTTGCTTTCTTTCCCGGGTAGCGCTCGCTACCCAGGGGGGGGGGTGATTCGGGCGGGAGGGTAACGGTCACGGCGGCCGCGGCGTGCACCCGCCAGGGTGCGTCCGCGCCACCGGCGCATCAATCGCCTGTGTGCACAAGCCCCCGCCCCCCCGTACGATCGTTAGCGTTGCCCAGGGGGGTGGGGGGGAGGTCGGCCTGGGTAACGAGCGCCACCCTGGGCAGGGCCAACAAAAACGCTCACTTGAGCGACGACGGCATCAAGATGGCCGAAGACGGCCCAAGAGGCCCCCCAAGACGGCCCAAAAGGCGTCCAGTATAGGTCTTCCAGGATGGCGCGAAGAGGCCAACATCATTGATTTTTCTAAGGTGTTTCAAACATGTTTTCATTTGCTTCCTCTCGGCATTCCGACGGCTCAAGACGGCGCAAGAGCCCCCCCAAGATCGATCCAAGGTCGCCCACGAGGCCTCCAAGATGGCCTTATGGCGGCCCAAAAGGCCTCCAAGACGGCCCCAAGAGGGCCGGCCCAGGAGGCTTCCAAGACGCCCAAGATGGCCTCGAAGACGGCCCTGAAATGCCCCCAAGAGGGCTCCAAGACGACCCAGACAGGCCTCCATGACGACTTCCGACGGCGCCAGGCAAGGCAGGAACGCTCTAAGACGGCCACAGAGGCCCCCAAGCATCCCCCAAAGGCCCCCAGCAGGCCCAAGAAGGCTCCAAAGAGCCTCCAAGAGGCCACAGGAAGCTCCCAGCAGGCGCCGAGTGCCCCAAGAGGCTCCTAAGAAGCCTCCTCCTCTTCCGATTCCTCTTCCTCTTCCTCCTCATGTTCATTCTCCCCTACGTGTTCCCCGAAAGTTTTCCAAACCGTCTCGGGGAACACATGGTCCGACAGCTTGGCCAAGCTCTAGCCCAACTCTCGGCCACACAGGCATTTCCAAAAAGGCAGGGGGCCCAACGATCCGCCGCCCCCTGCAAAAACCCCCCCTGGGCCTTCGGCCCGTCCCGCAGGCCACCTGGCAAGATCTTCCAGGACCTTAATCCCCCCCATTTTTCGCTCAAGATGGCCCAAGATGGCCTCCAAGATGCCTCCGAGACGGCCAAGATGGTCTCCAAGACAGCTCAGATGGCCCCAAGATGCCTCCAAGACGGCCCAAGATGCACCCAAGATGGCCTGAGATGGCCTCAAGATGGCCCAAGACTCCCAAGAGCCCCCTAAGAGGTCTCCAGGACAGCCCAAGAGGCCCAAATCATTGATGTCTTCATTTTTTTAATGAAAAAAATGTGTGTTGGCACTTTCGCCTCGGAAGGCCCAAGAGGCCCCCAAGATCGCCCCAAGATCGCCCACGAGGTCTCCAAGATGGCCCAATGACGGCCCAAGAGGCCCCCAAGATGCCCCCAAGAGGGTCCCAAGACGGCCCAAGAGGCCCCCAAGACGGTCAAGGTGCATCCAAGACGGCGAAGATGGCCCGAAGATGCCTCGGACACGGCCCAAGATGCACCCAAGACGGCCTGAGATGGCCTCCAGATGGCCTAAGACGGCCCAAGAGGCCCCCAAGAGGCCTTCAAGACGGCCCAAAATGCGTCCATGAGGTCTTCCAAAATGGCACGAAGAGACCAACCCCGAAGGTGTGTCAAAGATGTTGGCATTTGCTTCTTCTCGGCATTCCGACGGCTCAAGACGGCGCAAGAGCCCCCCAAGATCGCCCTAGGGGCCTCCAAGATGGACCCATGACGGCCCAAAAGGCCCAGGAGGGCCCCAAAACGGCCCAAGAGGCCTCCAAGACGCCCAATATGGCCTCTAAGAACTTCTGATATGCCTCAACAGGGCCCCAAGACGACCCAGACAGGCCCCCAAGAAGGCTTCCGACAGCGTCAGACAAGCCAAGAACGCCCTAAGACGGCCAAAGACGCCCCCAAGAAGCCCCCAAAGGCCCCCCAAAGCCCTCCAAGAGTCCCCCAGGAAGCTCCCACGAGGCCCCAAGAGTGCCCCAAGAGGCGCCCCAAGAGGCCTCCTCGTCCTCCTCCTCCTCCTTTTTCCTTATCCTCCCCCTCCTCCTCTTCTTGCTCCCCCATGCGTTCTCTGAAGTCTTTCCAAACCGACTCAGGCAACAACTGGCCCGATAGCTTGGCCAAGCTCTGGCCCAGCTGTCGGCCACAGAGGCGCTTCCAAAGGGGCAGGGGGCGGCGGTGATTCGCCGTAGGCGTCTTCGATCCGCCGCCCCCTGTTGATTAATCATAGGGGTGCCCGGCGTGCTAAACCCTCTCGGTTTTGGTGTTGGTTCTTTTTCCCAAAGAACTCCCCCTGGGGCTTCGGCCCGTCCCGCCGACCACCCGGAAAGGAGCTCAATTGCACAATTGTTCCTCCAAGACGGCTCAAGATGGCCTCCATGATGGCCACGTTGGCCCAAGATGGCCTCCAAGATGGCCTCAGATGGCCTCCAAGTCCGCCCAAGAGAGGAGAAGACGCCGCCAAATCCGCCCAAGAAACCTCCAAGACGGCCCAAGACGGCCCAAGAGGTGCCCAAGAAGCTTCCAAGACGGCCCAAGAGGCCTCCAAGAGGTCCTGCAAGAGGGCCCGAAGAGGCCAAAATCATGAGTTCCCCTTCAGTTTTTACAAGTTTTCCGTATTTGCTCCTTCTCGGTTTCCGACGGCCCAAGACGGCCTAAGAGGCCCCCAAGATCGACCCCACAGCGCCCAAGAGGCCTCCAAGATGGCCTCAGGACTGCCCAAGACGGCCCCAAGAGGGCACAAAGACGACGTAAGAGGCCTCCGAGACGCCCAAGATGGCCTCTAAGACGGCCTCTTTCGCACCCCAAGAGGGCCCCAAGTCGGCCCAGAGAGGCCTCCCAAACGGCTTCCGACGGCGTCAGACGGGCCAGGAGCCCACCAAGATGGCCGAAGTTAGCTCGAAGCTAGCCCAAGACGGCCTACGAGGCCTCCAAGAAGGCCTCCAGGAAAGCCCGAAAATGCCAAAAGCATTGATTTCCCTTATGTTTTTGAAGGATTTTGGCATTTGCTTCTTTTCGGCCTTCCGACGGCCCGAGACTGCCCAAGAGCGCCCAAAGATCGCCCAAGAGGCCTCCTAGATGGCCCCAGAACGGCCCAAGAGGCCCCCAAGACGGCCCAGGAAGCTTTTACGACGCCCAAGATGGCCTCCAAGACGGCCCTGGAGCATTCCAAGAGGGCCCCAAGCCGGCCCAGAGGGGCCCCCCAAACGGCGTCCGACGGGCCCGGAGCCGACCAAAACGGCTGAAGATGGCCCTAAGACGGGCCAAGACGGCCCAAGAGGCTCCCAAGAGGGCCTCCAGGAAGGGCCGAAAAGGCCAAAATCATGGATACCCCATGAGTTTTTGAAGGATTGTGGCATTTGCTTTTTTTCGGCCTTCCGACGGTCCGAGACGGCCCACGTGCCGCCAAAGATCGCCCAAGAGGCCCAAGTTGGCCCCAAGAGACCCCCAAGACGGCCCAAGCGGCCTCCAAGACGCTCAAGATGGCCTCCAAGACGGCCCAAGAGCCTTCCAAGACGTCCTCCAAGAAGGCCCGAAAGGGTCAAAATGGCTTCCGCACGGCCAAGATGACCTTCAAGATGCCCACGTGTTCGCCGAAGGCTTTCCAAACCGATTCGGGGAACACATGGTCCGATAGCTTGGCAGGTCTGGCCTCAACGTTCGACCACATAGGCGCTTCCAGAAAGGCAGGGCGCGGCGGTGATTCGCCGTAGGCGTCTTCGATAACGCCAGCGTTTCAATCTGCGCTGATAACTCCTATCCGCCCCCGCATGCTGTTCCCAGATGCTCCAAGGCAGCGCCGAGACGCACCGACGCGACTCTGTCATATCCCATTAAGATAGAGAGGGGGCCGGCGGCAGGGGGAGAAGCCCATAGAAACATCGTTCCCATACTATGTTTTGACTACTTCTGAATATTCCTTCTGTAGAGGGACGTGCCCGACTTCAAACAATATCTACACGGCGCAGAGTGTGCTCCGGACGGGAAACTACGGTGGAATGCAGTCTGGGGGACCTTTGGCGCGAAAGCGCGAGGGCCGACTCAAGAATCCGGCTGTCCCTGACCCCCCCATGCCCTGATACAGTGGAGGCCAGTCCACGAGAAACCTTTCACAAGAAACCCAACTCTGAGACCCCAAGGCGTCCATCGATTTTCGGTATGGGAACGCCGCGCTTTCCATGGCAAAACCCTCGAAACCCAAGAAACCAAGGTCACCCTAGAGGCAAGCAATGCGTTTCTTAGCATGGACCTCCACCGTAATCCGAATCATCCGCGACCGGAAATGCTCGGTACCGAATTTGTGTCGCACCGAATTGCAGCCACGACCGGAGGGGGGTCGAATTTCGGTGACGAGAAGACGGCGCGTGGGAGTCCAAGCGAAGGTTTCGACGACGTCGACGGCTCCCTCGTTACCGGCATTCGCGACTGGAGGCCGACTCTCGGTCGCGACCGGCTCGTGCAGAGCGTTACCGAAAGTTTCGGTAGCGCATGGTCTGGGAACTCGGGGCCATGACTGGGTGCCTCCCAATTGGGGTCCGATGCACAGTACCGCCCATGCATCGCCGATGCATCGGCGACGTCGGCGTGGAGAAACTCGGGCTCCACATCGAGCCGCATCGGCGATGCATCGGCGATGCGGCGCGATCCTCCGACCCCGTCTGCTCGGACCCCGCTTGAGAGACCTAGAAGGTCAAAATCCCACGATGTGCACGCCCGACGTGGGTACGGAAAACATGGGCACGACGCCCAACAACAAATGTCGTCCAAAACCGACAGCGGCCGCTGCTGGGCAGGCGGCCCTGTGTCTCGCATGGACAGCGTCCACGGCAACGCCGACAGCGAGCCCTGGACAAAATGGGCAGGACATGCTGCCGGTCTTCGCACCGCTGCCGGTCTTCGCACCTGTGATTTCCGTATCCACTGCGATCGCACCGACCCTGGCCTCCTCCCCAGAAGCCGCCCCCCCCCGGCCGCCGTGAGTGGCAACGGTAGGGGAGAGTGGCATGGGGGGGGGGAACGCGTCGACCTAGAATCGGCGATGCATCGCCGGTAGATCCGCGATAGGCCCCCGAGCGTGGATCCGCACGCTCCTTGGTGGGCAGGTTGGGGCCATCGCCGGCGGCGAGCGAGGTCAGAGTGCCCCGTCTCCAGGGCTCGGCGGCGAGCGAGGTTCTAAACTCGATGTTCGTTAGGTGTTCGCGCGTCTTCGTGATGATGATGATGATGATGAGGAGGAGGAGGAGGAGGAGGAGGAGGAGGAACGAGGAGGAGGAGGAGGAGGAGGACGAAACGAGGAGGAGGAGGAAACGAGGAGGAGGAGGAGGAGGAGGAAAAAGAGGAGGAGGAGGAGGAGGAGGAGGAGGAGGAGGAGGAGGAGGAGGAGGAGGAGGAGTCTCTTGGCAGTTTGCCGCCCTCGGGATGCGTCTAGCGGCAACGCCTCGCCGCGAGCGGTCTGGGCATGCCCGGGTCGTGCCGAACGGCCGCCAGAGACCCGAGGCATGACCAGAAAACCAAATCCGGCGGCGAGCAGAGGAGGAAAAGGGCCCTCTCAGAAGGCGAGAAGCGAGAAGGAGAAGGAGAAGGCGAGAGGCGAGAAGCGAGAAGACCCGCAGAGGGAAGCGAGAAGGAAAAGGCCCTCTCAGGAGGCGGCCTGGCTTCTCAGGAGCCCGCCCGCCCTCTGAGAAGCCTGCCGTGCCGTCGGGGGACGGCTCGGAAAACCTCTTCGGAGGCCGAGTGACTTCCGAACTCTCTGAGAGGGCCGTCGCCCTTCCCCCCTCTCGCTCGCCGCCGAGATTATCTGGCCCCTATCGGCGATCAATGGGCGACTGCGGGTCGATGCGTCCCCCCTGCGCCTATCCTCCCTGCCGATGCCCCTGGGAACATCCTGCAGGAACATCCTCCGCCGGCCAGACTGACGAGCATTCGAGGGTACCCTGCGGCAGGATGCACAAGAACATCCCGCACGCACGGCGAACATGTTGGTGCTCCAAATCCCTTCTTAATCGACCCCCCCTAAAACCGGACCCCCCTCCAGATGCGACCTAACATTCCAGACCCCCTTCTTCGACGGGGCGCCTTCATCAACGGGACCCCCTGAGCTCCAATCCAAGGAAAGCGCCCTGATAAACCAGACCTCAAACCGGACCCCGGGACGAGTCATCAGAGAGTTGGGGTACCCTCCCCGAGCCGACCTCGCTCTCGATGGGCGACTGGGGGTGGATGCGCCCCTCCCATCCCGGCGCCTGCCCGCCCCCCTCCCCCCTCCGCGGGGCAGGCGCCCAGGCCCCCCCCCCATCGCGCAGCGGCGGCCCACCCTCCTCCTCCAGGAGGAGGAGGAAGAGGAGGAGGAGGAGGCACCGATAGGAGGACGAGGAGGACGAGGAGAGGAGGAGGAGGAGGAGGAGGGCGAGGAGCAGGCCCTCCTCCTGCTGCCCTCCACCTCCTCCTCCTCCTCCTCCTCCTCCTCCTCCTCCTCCTGCCCCTCCTCCCCCTCGTCCTCGTCCTCGTCCTCGTCCTCCTCGTCCTCCTCGTCCTCCTCGTCCTCTCCTCCTTCTCCTCCTCCTCCTCCTCTAGGGGGAACACAAACCTACCTCGCTTTTGACCACCCTCGCTTCCAAGAGATACCAAACGATGCCAAATTGCAGCCTGTACTGGTCAGGCCGCTTGACGAGGAGGCGCGTGGTATGGCTTGGTTTTGCCTGGAAGCGAAAGCGGGGTAGGTAATTCACGCTCTGATCCTCCTCCTCCTCCTCCTCCTCCTCCTCCTCCTCCCGAGCCTCCTCGAGCCGCCAAAAGCCGCTCCCCCCCTGGCCGCCGGCAGATCCTGCCCCCCGCGGATCGCCATGCCGGGCGGGCAGGGCGCGGCGGCCCCTCCGAAGCCGGCGGCCAGGCCGCCCGGCGCGCGCAAGTGGGGCGCCCAGGGGGCGGCTCGGGGAGGGCCGGCTCGGGCCTCCCTGGAGGGGGGGAAAGTGCAGGGAGGGGAAGGCTTCCTCCTGCTTCATGCTCCATGCACATCCTCCTCCTCCTCCTCAAACTCCTCCTCTTCCTCCTCCACCTCCTCCTCCTCGTCCTGCTCCTCCTGCTCCTCCTCCTCCTCCTCCCCCTCCTCCTCCTGCTCCTCCTCCACCTCCTCCTCCTCCTGCTCCTCCTGCTCCTCCTGCTCCTCCTCCTCCTCCTCCTCCTCCTCCTCCTCCTCCTCCTCCTCCGCCTCCTCCTCCTCCTCCTCCTCGTGAGGGTGGAGGGCAAGCAGAGGGAGGTTTCCGTCCCCTCCTCCTCCTCATCTTCCTCCTCCTCCTCCTCCTCCTCCTCCTCCTCCACCCCCTCCCCCTCCTCCTCTCTGAGGAGAAGGGAGGGGAAGGTCCGGCTCGGGCCGACCGGGAGGGGGGGGAAGGGCAGGGCGGGGGGGGTCCCAGGCCAATGAACCTACCTCGCGCTTGACCACCCTCGCAGCCGAAAGGGAGCCAAACGATATCAAAGCAGTTACCCCTGGGGTGGCCCGCAACGGTCAGGCTGCTTGACCAGGAGGCGCGTGGTATGGGTTGAATGCGCCTGCAGCGAAAGCGGGGAAGATATTCCACCGTGTGGAGGTTTCCTCCTCCTCCTCCTCCTCGAAGCTCGAATCTGCGAACTGTGTGTCGCCACAACCCCCTCCCACCCGACGGCGCCGGGAGGATGGGAGGAAAACACGAAGAGGAACATAGTTAACGACAAGGGACGACCGAAGAGCGGACATGACGCTGGGCTAGACCTCCTCCTCCTCTCCTGCTCTGGCTCGGGCCTCCCTGAAGAGGGGAGGGTCATCCTCTTCCTGGCCGGACCAGTCGGCGTGGAGGTCGAGAAGTCGGATCGCGTCGGGAGGGGCGTCGGCTCGGGCCGCATCGGCACAGCGGTCGGGACCCGATCGTATCGGCCACGCCAGGCGGCACCAGAGCCCCACGGAGGCATGGGCCCGCATCAGACCGTCGCAACACAAGAACCCCGAAGGGTCTTGAATAAACCCCCGGGCAATAATGGGAAACAAATTGATTTCCCGCGGGGTTATTTACGGGTTGGGACCCCAACGAGATTTGGAAAATGATAATTCTCCGACGGCGGCCACCGCACAGGTCTCCGCTATAGTCGTCGCCGCCGCCGTCGTCATCAGGGATGAGTTTCTACTCCCCGCCGAGAGCTTAGGTGGGGTCTTCAACATAAATACCCTTCGCGGTTTAAACGAATCGGATCAGGTCTTCAAAGGCTGTCGACCCCACCTTTCGTTTGGCTGTCTTCCAGAAAGCGTTCAACCTTCAGCACCCACCCCGCGTCGACGCCACGTCAAGGTGGTAAGAGCCTGCCGTACCTAGACATGACGATTCTTCTTCATCCAAGTCCCTCCCCCTAATGCATTCCCAGTAGCCGGGCCCCCCCGTTCCTATCGATGTCGGCGGCGGAGATGTCCGGTATCGCCGTTCGCAGGACCTTGCCAGCGGTGTCCTGGGGTAGACGGGCAGGAGGAAGATAAGGAGGGCATGAGAAGATGTAGCAATATCGAGGCTTTTCCTCTCAACCCTCGAAGCCAAAGGACCTGCAGTGCTTGCTCCTTCTCTGCCCTAACATGCTGACTCCTGCACACGGGGGTCCCTGACCCCAGCAAATACAATCTACAACACGCCCCCTTGGAAGCTTGGCTACCCACTGAGTCGAGCTTTCAACTGACTCCCGAAAACTTGTCACGGTGGGGCGTCCCCCAAAAGACCTGCTGAGGCGTCCCTCAGGCTAAAGAAACGAACAACTGAAACTCTGCCCAGCAAAGAACTCAAACTTCGCTGGCTGGTCAGCAAGCTCAACTCAACTTCCAAGGGAAAGAAATAGCTCGAAACTCTGATATTAAGCATGATGGCAGGAGGAGAAAAGAAGAGAAAACAGAACGGCTCAAGGCAAGGCGCAGCCGCTCAAGGTCCTATCGACTGAGCCTCATTCACTGTCAGTTCAAAAGAAGTCCCTTGGCCTTGTCCACACGCACTTCAAGGAAGGCACCGTGCGCGTGGTCCTGGACTGGTTGGAATCGAGGGACCGCCCACTTCCACTTGTAGGTCATCTGGGACTGCGTGCTCACGTTCCTGGTAGGCTGACTCGGTCGCATCATAACCAGTGAGGCTGGCACGCCTGGAAGCGGATCCTCCATCTTGTCTGTGTGGGTGGTCTCCTCTGTCATCTCATTGGGCTCGGGCGAGACCAGGACCCAGTCCGAGTCCCGCATGCTGGCGTAGCGGAACCCCGCGTAGCCGCTGATGGCCGCCACGATCAGTGTCCAGACAGCCACCATCATCAGGAAACCTGTCCAGTCGCTCGTGGCCATGCCATCCCTGGAGCAGACCTCCGTGTCGTAGTAGTAGCTGCTCTGGTCGGCGACCTGGCCCTCGCAGCCCTGCAGGAGCGTCGCCGCCGCCGTGATCATAGCCAGGGCCGCCGAGCGGCTAGCACCGAGTGAGCTCGTAGAAGTTCTCGAGCTCCTGACCCGTGCTGCCGCCCCCACGTCGAAGTCCACCTCCTCCGACTGATGGTCACTCTCCGCGACCTGGCCCATGTCCGTGTAGATGCCGTTGAGCGTCCTGAGCTTGACGAAGCGATCGTGTCCAAGGATCTTCGTGCCCAGGTCCGCTTTGTTGTCGTCGGTGCCGACAGTCCCGAGGTCCATCAGCTTCCTCTTGATCGCCTGCTGGAGCCAAAGAACTCGCGCCTCAAGACTCCGCACCTTACCAACTCCTTCACGTCGGGCAATGCCTCGCGCAGCTGACGAATCCGTCAGCAGGGTGGCTGCCACTGTGAAGCCCATGAACTCAAGAAGTGACTTGAAGTAGAGCAAATCCTCGGCGACCGCCGTCGCCGCATAGTACTCAGCAACTCCCGAGCTAGTGGCCACGATGCTCTGGCGCCTGCTGAACGAGTGCATGGGAACACCATCAATCTCGATCTTGCCGCTCGACTGGGACCTCCTCGTCTGCAAGTCGCCTGCCCAGTCGCTGTCGCCAAAGCCCACTAGCTCCACGTTCGTGCCCTCCGTCGGTCTCGGTGGCCAGTTCACCGCATTCCTCGTCCCAAGCAGGTATCTCACGAGCCTCTTGAGCGCAGTGAAGGCGCCGACGGTGGGGCCTGATAGCATCCTGCCCAGCAAGCTGACCTCGTACTGGCAGTCCGCCCTGTCCTGGACGTAGTACATCAGCGCCCCCACGCATGAGCGGTAGACGCCAGCCTGCTGCTGAGAGAGAGTAGGAGTGCTCCCCATGAGCGCCTTGTGTGCTGGCACTCCAGGAGTGGGAGCCGTGTTGGAGCCGCCGAGGTTGAGGGTCTCCACCACGTAGTCGAGGTACTTCGTGTTGGCCTGCAGCTCCGTGCCGTGCTCGTACCTCGTCCTCAGCCTCTTCAGGTGCTCGTAGGTGATGCCGTGCTCGTGGATCTCCCCGCCGCTGAAGGTCACATGCTGCTTCAGCTCGTCGCGGAAGCCCTCCAGCGCCTCCCTGGATCCAGCCATGTGCAAGTCGTCCATGTGCAGCTCAACCACCACCTCCGTCTCAGGGTTGTAGAAGAACTGCGGCGCCACCTCGCATCTGGTCATCTGCATCTCGTCTGTGAGGATGCCCGCCATGTGCTCCACCCAGCCTGGCGCTGCCGTCCGTCTCCCAGGTAGTTGCTTCTTCAACTTCCAGTAGATCTCCGTGTCCTTACCTTCCGCCCTGAGCATGTCCAAGTACTCCTGCGGGGGGTCAACCACCACGTCCTCGTACTCCGGGGCCTGGTAGAAGGCATCCGTCGCGTCGAGCGTCATCACTTCGAACCCGCGCTTGAGAGCCACAAAGTCGACCAACCTGTTGGAGATCGGAGCCGATCCAGGTGTGAACAGGTCGTCACGCCATTCCTGCCAGCGGAACTCGCGGCAGACGAACCGCACCTTGCGCTGCCACTCCTGCAACGCTGGCTTCCATCTCCATTGCTTCTCCCAGCGCGTGGTGATGTGCTTCATCCCATTCGCCTCCGACTTGGCGATGTCCTCGCCGACTCCATGGCCCAGGAGGCTCTGCAGGTGCTCCATGGTGAGCTTCTTGTCCAGCTCATCCTGCATGTCCACGTCAAACATGCCATCCGTCGGGTCCTCCACCTCATCCGAGACCTCCTCCCAGAACGCGTCAGGCGAGTCGTCCACGTTGCCAACCTCCAGCGCGTGAACCGCTGCAACTCGTGCTCGCTTGCCTTCGGAGACCTCTGCTGCTGGCGAGACCCCACGTCTCGCTGCCTGCGAGGGCGCCGCCCCCATCGCCACATCCCTGGGCGCCGGCGGCTCTGGTGCTGGGGGCTGCGGCTGCTGAGCCGCTGCCGCTGCCGGCGGAGGTGGTTGCTGCGGTGCCTGAGGCTGAGCAGGCGCTGCTCCGCCCTCTGGCTGTCCTGCCTGCTGCGGCTGGGGAGCGTCAGGCTGAAGAGGTCCTTCTGCCCTCGGTAGCTCCGTCGCGATCTGCTGAGGCGCCCGCCTGCGTTTCGACCTCTCGGGGGCCGTCCTCGCAGCCCAAGGCAGCCCCGTCACCGTCATGAAGAGCTCCTTGTCAGCCTGCCTTCCCTCAGGGAGCCGTCGCACCGTCCGTGCGCGGTCAAGCCCCCGAGGCGTCACCACCAGGTGCTCCTGCGACTCGTCCGACCTGCCGACCCAGATCCCTTTGCCCCACTGAGCCTCGCCTCGATGCAGACGCCGACCTCCAGTGAGACCTCGATGCGCAGGACGCGCAATCCGATACAGCACCGTCTCGCCGAAGTTGCAGATGTCGCCCTTGTACGGCGTGCCTGTCGCGATCTCGTGCGGGCTCTGACCTCCAGCTCGCCTCGAGAACCTCTCGTGAAGCCACCCAGCGTGACGCATCATCCACGCCCAGATTGGCATGGCCGCCGTCACCTTCGTGTCGTAGCGCTTCTCGAGGTCCAGCCTAAGAACCCTCGTCTGGCCCTCGACTATCTTCACCGCTGCCTCCGCTGGGTTCGACTGGCTGCTGTGCTTGGGGGTCAGCTCTGCCGTGACCTTGCCCGCGAGCTCGCTGACCACGCCGTCCATGATGGCCTTCGTCGCCTGCTCCGTGTCCGTCCTGAGCCTGCACTTGCCCGTCTCGAGCCTCTGCACGAAGGACTTGATGCCTGCAATGGCGTATGGTGAAGCTGCCTTTGACGCACACGGAATAACCTTCACCACTCCAGTGTCAGAGCTGAACGCCACCAGCATCGTCGCGTAGGTGTCCTCTACCTTGGTCAGGTCCCCTTCCTCGTCGGCTGTCTTGCAGAAGCCGAAGTCGTAGCTGATGAGTGGGTGCTTCTGCTCTGAGTCCTCGAGCCTGACCAGCGAGTGAGGTGCATCAGGAGCTTTGGCCCTGACACACTCCTCGCACCACGGAGCAGCAGGGAGATGCGTGAGGCGATGCTGTCTCTCCTCCTCCGCGCTCGGGGCCTTCGGAACTGGAAGCTGCTTCGGCTCGACTGGATCGTGCTGAATCCCGAGCTGCTCCTTCACCGCCAGCTTGTGCAGCCTCTCCGCCTCCGAGCGCCTGGCAGCCGCCTCTGCCACAATGAGCCGCTCCCACAGCTCCAACTTCGCGCCGTAGATCGGCATGAACAGCTCCCTCAGCCTGGTCCTCATCGCGCCGACCGAGCTCTCCGCCGTGAGCACTGGTGCCGTCGCTGCCTGCTGCTGGTCCGCCGCGCCGCAGCAGTGGTGGGCCGCTGGCGCAGGGCTCGCGGACACGATCGGGAGCCTAAGGCTGTTCCGCTCCAACTCGAGCTGCACGCTGCGGTGACCCTTCGTCATGTAGAGCCCGTCCTCCATACTGAGGTTGAACCTGAAACCCTGCCTGAGCAGCTTGCCCATGCTCAGCAGGTCGTCATTCACATCGGCAACGAGGAAGTCTGCCGTCGCCTTGATGCCCTCCTGCATCGTCATCTCAACACCCCGTAGGCCCGCTGTGGGCAGCGGTCGCTGCTGCACGTCGAAAAGCCTGGGGGCATCCGTCGCACTGTTGACTGGGGCCTCTGGGACGAACTTGTGTCTGCACAGGTGGTCGCCGCTGCCGCTGTCGATCAGGATGGAGCCTCCAACCTTCGCCACCTGGCCGCTCGTCGCCGCTGAGACCGCAAACACCCAGCCGTCGGGAACGCCGTCGTAGTAGCCCGACGCGGCGCGGACCCCGCCCTCGGACTGCTGCTGTCCCGAGCTCGAGGCCGATCCATCTCCCTGAACCGCGCGCGTGTTGCCAGTCTCCTTCTTGGCCTCAGCTGCCCTCTTCTTCCTGCAGTCGGCCCGCTTGTGGCCCCACTTGCCGCAGTAGCCACACTCGCCGTCGAAGTAGTCGGACTGGCCCTTGCCATGGCCCTGCTTGCCGTCGCGGTTCTTGGACTTCGTCTTCGAGTCCTTGCAGCCCTTCACATTCTTGCCAGCCTTCCCTGACTTGTCCATCTTGCCTGTCTTGCCCGACTTCCCGTGCGACTTGCCGCCATGCGGTCCAACTCGAACTGCATCCACCTGCATCGGCACGACCCCGCCAGTGTCTGGGACGTGGGTGAACGTCCGCCCTTGATTGTAGTAGCCCCTGATGTGACTCCGAGCCGCTGCGAACGTGAGCTTCACCTCCTCAGGCGCCTGCCGAAGGACCTCACGGTACGGCTCTGGCGCGTGCTCTAGCAGCACGCTGACTCGAACGTTGTCCGAGACCGCCTCGCCGCTCTGGTCCACGTACTCTGCGACGATGGCCTCCCACGCCGTGAGAGACTGAAAGAAGTCGATGCCCGACTCCCGATCCTTCGCCCACTTGTCCTGAGGGTTCAGGATGAAGCGCAGCATGGCCGTCCACCTGTTGCCCGACTTGCTCTCATACTCGATCTTGAGCTGCCGCCACGCCTCCAGGCCATTCTTCCTCGAGAGCTTGACCACACCCAGCGACTTGCCGTCGCACCACGTGATCAGCAGGTGCCAGAGCCTCTGGCTGACCGCTCTCGCCTGGTCCCCCAGCTGGTCCGTTGCCAGTGGGTCGCGCCTGTTGGCCGCCTCCGTCATGAGGTCCTCCATGCCAAGCAGCGCGGTGTAGGCCTCGAACCTGAGGCTCCAGTCTGCCCATCTCTCGTCCGTACCGTCGAACCTCTGAAGCCTCATGTCGGTCCGAACGTCGACGACATCGATCGCCGCCATCTCCGCCAGCACGGGCAGGAGGTCTGGGCGCGGCGAGCGAGCTCAGCTCCCGTGGGCACAGGAACCGAGCTCCGCTACCATGTAGCAATATCGAGGCTTTTCCTCTCAACCCTCGAAGCCAAAGGACCTGCAGTGCTTGCTCCTTCTCTGCCCTAACATGCTGACTCCTGCACACGGGGGTCCCTGACCCCAGCAAATATAATCTACAACAGAAGAACTGCTCCGAATGTAACCAGGCAGTGTGTGAAGCAGTAGGTTTGGCGCGCGGAAGGATCAGCTTGTAGCGTGCGCTCCCCTTGAAGGCGCACGTCCGAACACAACCGATGGTACACACAGTATAGCAGATTTGTGGCCCAAGCAGGATGGCCCGAACACGTCCGTCTCCGTGCCTATACCATCGTACTTCGGCACGCGCACGTCGCCTCTGGGTGCCGACGCGCACACTTCCTCGTCATTGCACTACACATTTCTCAAATGGAAAAAACCTTGAACTAAACTGTCCGAATCGTGTTAATCCGGCATGGCCCGACAGGAAGTAACCCGCACATAGTCTGGACGAGCTGAGCTCAGCGGAGCGAGCTTGAATTGAGGACTCACGCGCGCACAGTGCAGCCCTTCAGACCTGGGAAGAGATGAACACATCCTGAAACGCCACTTTGCGACAGGCAAAACCCAGAGGGAACGAAACCCCTCACGTCGCCGCGCCGATTGGATCCGTATGGGCACACAGCCAACGGCGGCTTTGGCTTCGCGCGCGCACGACCTGCTCGCTTGCGGCGCAATCAGCGTGTGCGAATGGGGGGCCCGCGCCCGCGCGCTCAGCGTGGAACCGTTCCGCGCCTGAGTGCACTCCGCCTCCTCCCGTCCTCCGCGGCCACCATCTGCGTGCGTTTCTGCGTTTCTCGCTCCGAGCAGCGTCTCCACGAGCGCCCGAAGCGCGGAGCGCGCCGCAGCAGCCCACGAGGGCCGTGCGGGCACTCAGACGGCGGCCCCGGGAACCCGACCCCGAGGAGAAGAGAGAGGACCAGGGACCAGTAAATACCTCGGAGGAGGGGAGAGGGGCCACCATCTCTGTCTTGTCCCTCCCCTCCTGCACGCCGGCCCATCCGCGCTCTGGCCGCCCCGGTCGCTCACCGCTGGAGCAGCTCTTCTGCCTCGCCACCGACGGAAAAAAAGGTGCGAATGAGCACTTTTCCTCCGTCCTGGGCCACCCTCTTGCCGGCGCGGCCGGCAGCACTGCTCTTGCCGCGGCTGCGGCGGCCCGCCCGCGCGCCCCCAGGCAGGGCACGGGCACGGAGGCAGCCGATCGAGCCGGGCCACCATACCTGCTGCAGGACAGGGGTCGACCTACCGTAAGCAGTGGTTTTCGTTTTCGTTTTGTGTTCGGTTTCCCTCGTTTTGTCTTCAGTCCACCTTTGCAGCAAAACGAGATCGAAACGAGAAGGGCCCACGAAATCGCCAAAACACCGCTCACCCGCAACTGCCGCTGCGAAGACGCTTCGGGACGCGTTGCAGTTCTGGGCCAAAGTCGGCGGTGGACAAACCTCCCTTTAGTAAACCTCCCCTCAATGAAAACGGCCTGGGACCGAAACCGACGGACCTGGACCCGCAAACATGACGGCCGCGACGCCCTCTCGCGAACCGAGAACGGCCAATTCCTTAACCGACGTGTCAGGGTAGGAGGTCGATCCACCTCCGACAAAGAGGGTGCAGCATCTCACGATCCAGCTGGGCAACTCGTTTACGCCGCGCCCCGCCGAGCTCGCCGACCGCACCCAGGGGCTTGCTCGCAGAACGGGGGCCCCCTCGCACGGCCGCGCGAAAAGGCCCGCCGGACGAGCAGGACACCTGCCTCCATGCTTGACAACCCTGCGCTTCGCAGCTCGATGGTCCTGTGCAGACCGCTTAAGCTTTGGCAGGGCATGTCCTCCTACAGGCGGATTCTTGCAGGAAGTTATGTAAATTCTTCAAAAATATATTCAAACATAGCCACGCATATTAGAAACACAAACATAGCCAGACAGATTAGAAACACATCGTCCCCAGACAATTTTTCGAATATTTCGAATACTCCTTCTGTAGAGGTTTGGACGCCCGAAATGGGCACGGAAACAATGGGCACAATGCCCAACAGCAAATGTTGTCCCGAACCATTAGTGGCCGCTGTTGGGCAGGCGGCCCTCTGTCTGAAATGTACGTACACAGGCCGCGGCGACACCGACAGCGAATCCGGTTCAAAATGAACAGAAACTGCTGTTGGGCATTGTACACATTCTTTCCGTACCCATGTCGGTCGTCCCGAAGAGGGACATGCCCGAAAAAACAGGTTAATGGCACTTTGCGTCACCGCCTGGCGCTCTGTGGGGACGAACCGCCACACCACCGTAACCTCTCCGCTGGCTACACCTCCGCGTCGGCTCGGCGCCAACTCTTCCCGCTTCCGATCCTCGCGGACCTCCACCGCCGCCGACCTCTGTGTCAGGGCCCCGACACACGGTGCACTTTGATAAACCTCGGCATTCTTAGAGGCCTCCTAGATGGGGTCGGAGTAGATGGGGTCGGAGGATCGCGCCGCATCGCCGATACATCGGCGATGCATCGGCGATGCATCGTCGACGGCGGCGATGAGTCGGCAACATCGACGTGGAGCAAACTGGGCTTCACATCGAGCCGCATCGCCGATGCATCGGCGATTCGGCGCGATCATCCAACCCCATCTTATCGGACCTCATCTGGGAGGCCTCGAATTCTAGCATACCAGAAACACTAGGAATTCTGTCTGCTCTCCCGCTGTATCTAGCAAACTCCTGGCTCACGGTGTCTTATTTCTGGGGGCCCTGATTGTGGGTCATGGGTCAGGCGACGGACCCATTCCCCCCCACCCCACCCGCTGAAACATCGTCGTCCACCTCCTCCTCATCATCCTCGACCTCTTCCATCTCCTCGTTCTCTACTTTCTCCTCCTCCTCCACCTCCTCCTTCTCCATGCCTCCTCCTCCTCCTCATCATCATCATCCAACTCCTCCTCCTCTCCTCCTCCTTCTCCTCCTCCTCCTCCTCCATGTCTTCTGCCGCCCCCTCCTCCTCCTCCTCCTCCTCCTCCTCCTCCTCCTCCTCCTCCTCCTCTCCTCCTCCTCCTCCTCCTCCTCCTCCTCCTCCTCCTCCTCCTCCTCCTCCTCCTCCTCCTCCTCCTCCTCCTCCTCATCCTCCTCCTCCCCTCCTCCTCCTCCTCCTCCTCTCCTCCTCCTCCCTCCTCCTCCTCCTCCTCCTCCTCCTCCTCCTCCTCCTCCTCCTCCTCCTCCTCCTCCTCCTCCTCCTCCTCCTCCTCCTCCTCCTCCTCCTCCTCCTCCTCCTCCTCCTCCTCCCCCTCCTCCCCTTTCCTCCTCCTCTCCTTTCCTTCCCTCCTCCCCCTCCTCCTCCTCCTCCTCCTCCTCCTCCTCCTCCTCCTCCTCCTCCTCCTCCTCCTCCTCCTCCTCCCTCCTCCCTCCTCATCGTCGTCCTCCTCCTCGGCGGTCTATCCGCCTGGCTCCGGCCCGTGGCGCGTCCTCGATCTCCTCGCCAACCTTCCTGCCGTCTATCTCCTTCAGGACGCCGTCGGCACCCTTGGCTGCGTCCTGGCTGACGGGGTGGCGGGGATCGGGAAGGAGGGAGAAGAATGGGAGACGAACCAGGAAATGAGGAGCAGGGGAGAGGGCGGAAGAGACGGATGAGGAGGAAGAGAAGGAGAAAGGGGAGGCATGGCATGGCACGGAATCTGCTTCGGGCCTGGGGTCAGTCGGATGGATAACTACACACATCAGCATTACGCATGCAAGATATGTGCGACCTGCAATGCGCGCACACGAACTATAATGAACAGCCCCCGCCTAAGGGAGCCCCGAATTGAGATTCGCTCGTTCGTCGCGACTAGCCTCGAGAAAATTAAGGTAAGGGAGAAAGGCAAGAGGAGGGGCAAGAGGACGATGAGCATGACATAAACCGAGGATTTACAGAACACCCTTTAGTGAAAACTTTCAGGGGCACCCCACTTGGGCACGGAACTGCATTCCGAGTGGACCCACATGGGATAGCTAACCGACGTCCAGAAACAAGCGAGTGTATACGGCAAACACACATCGTAGCGACACCGACTCAGGACTGCACCAGTACTCGCGAATCCGGTCGACTGAACTGGTGCAGATGTCCTGTGGACTTGTTAGGGCGGGCTGTCTCTCAGCGCCCCAAAAAAGTGTCATCAGCAGAAGTAGCAACATATCCACTACCATCCTGCTCCACCTAACTAAAACCCTCCTCGCCCCCCCCCTCCCCCTCCTGCTCATGCTCATCCTCCACCTCCTCTTTATCATTTGCTTGCCGCTCCTGCCCCTCCGCCGCTTACGCCTCCAATGGCTGCAAGAAAAATGATATGTGTGTGGGCGACAAGCATGATTTCACATGGACGGGGCGGCAGTGCACAACGTCCCGCTGCCTCTCGCAGCAGGGGGGGGAGGGGGATACGGTAAAGTCGCTCTGCAAGTGAAGACCGACTCCCTGATCTGGAGCCAAATTTGGTGACCAACCCCAAATGAGGTGGTAACTAGCGGTCTCACCATCATCATAATCCTCATCGTCATTGTCACCATCATCGCAGCAACCGGAATCATAAAACTCATCATCGTCCTGCTCTTCCTCCTCTTGGTCGTCCTCATCCCCATCCTCCTCCTCCTCCTCCTCCTCCTCCTCCTCCGTATCCTCCTTCTCCTCCTCCTCCTCATTCTTCTCCTCCTACTCACCATCCTCATCACCAGCATTGTCGCGGACATCATCATCGTCATCGCTATCGGCATCATCATCGTCACCACCACCACTACCACCACACCACCATTATCATCACCATCATCAGCAGCAGCATCAGCATCATTATCATCATCATCGGCATAATCAGCAACATCTGCATCATCAGCACCATCAACACCATCATCAGCATCACCGCCATCACCATCAGCATCACCATCTTCATCAACGGCATTATCATCACCACCACCGTCACTAGCATCTTCATCATACTCATCATCACCAACATCATTTGTCAGGTATAATCCAAATCCTCTGGCTGCCGCTGATGCTACCTCTCCCCCTCGTCCTCGTCTTGGTGGCCGTTGCCGACGCCTCCAGTGGCGTCGGTGACGTCGTCATTGCCATAGCTGTCATGCTGCTAGTGGTCGTCGTTCTCCTCCTCCTCCTCCTCCTCCATCTCCTCCTCCTCCTCATCCAACTCCTCCTCCTCTCCTCCTCCTCCTCCTCCTCCTCCTCCTCCTCCTCCTCCTCCTCCTCCTGTTTCGCCTCCTGCTCCTCTTCCTTCTCCTCGTCCTCGTCGTCCTCCACCTCGTCCTCCTCCCACAGCGACGGCGACGGCCACAACTCCGTCTCGCAATCTCCTCCTCCTGCTCCTTCCCCATCTCCCCCTCCTCCCTTCCGCCCCCTCCCTCCCTCCCTTGCCTCCCCCCCTCGCACTCGCCTGCCCCTGCCACCATCAACTCCCTGCTCGCAGCACAGACCGACGCGCCCCGAAGGCCGCAAGTGCCCCCCCGTCCTGGGTTATCCTGTCGGGGTGCCTCTGGATGTCCTGCCCGCCCCCTCGCACGCGCGCGCCCGCCCGCTGCCCCCCCCCCCCCCCCTGACAGGGAGCGGCGGGGAGGTATGAGAAGGAAGCAGGGGAGGAGGAGGGGGAAGATGAGGAGGATGAGGAGTGGGAGGAGAAATAGTAGGAGAAGGGGGGGGAGGAGGAGGCGAAGGAGGAGGACGAGGAGGAAGGGGAGGAGGAGGGCGAGAAGGAAAAAACAAAGTCCTCCTGATCCTCCTCCTCCTTCTCCTCCTCCGCAGGCCCCACTCCCTCACCCTCCAACGTCTCCTTCTCGTCCTCCTTCTCCTCCCCCTCCTCCTCCTCCTCCTCATCTTTCTCATCCCTAATCCCCCTGTTCCTCCTGCTCCTCCTCCTCTTCCTCCTCCTCCTCTCCTCCTCTCCTCCTCCTCCTCCTCCTCCTCTTCCTCCTCCTCCTCCTCCTCCTCCTCCTCCTCATCATCCTCCTCATCATCATCATCATCATCATCATCATCATCAGCGGCAGCAGCAGCATCATCATCCCTTCTCTCCTTGGCGAAAGCAGATCTGGTAGAAACATCAACGTCATCGACTACACTGGGAGTGCCAGCGAGCGCGAAAAGACCGTGCCCGAGGCGCAAAGACTGGAGCCAGATGCTATCAACTGCAGTGCTTGGGCGAGTGGGTGTGACAGTGAGCCGCTGCAGCAGCGGACGGGGCGCAACGTGATCTTGGACGCATGTCTGGAGCCTTACGGCGTTAGCTACGCTGGCAGTGGCAGCATCGGCGGGGAAGCAGGCTCTGGCGCTGCTCCCCAGAGTGAGGAAGGCGAAGCTGGAGTCCGAGGCCATCACCACAGCGCCCGACGGCACTCAACAGATGTGGAAGACGATGGTGGAGCCCACGGTCCTCTCTGGCGCTACTCTAGCGATGGGGATGGCGAAGTTGGAGCATGATGCCATTAGCTGCCACGTTGGGTGTGATGCATGCGGGAATGGCCGCAGTGAGCAGCACATCAGCGACGACACTGAGAGCAGCTCGTGCGGCAAAAGGCAGCACAGGCGGACCCATTAGCTACAGCGCTGAGGTCGGCAAGTGCGGGCAAGGCAACAGTCCTCAGTCGCGTGGCGCGGCCCAGTGCGAACAGCTAAAGGAGCAGCTGCATCCATCGGGAGCGCCATTGTGAGTCCAAACTAGCATGGCGCGAGGAGTCGTGCTTCGTGCTCTCAATGGGAGCATTGACCTAGGCAGCGCAATCTAGCACAATCATTTCTTTCCTCCCCCCCGGACGACAACGGAAGGGGGCTGGAGGAGCACGTGCTACCCGTAGAAGAGAGGCAATGAGTGGGAGGGACAGGGGGGATGGGTGGGTGGAGGGGTCTCTCACCCTTCCTCCCTGCACGTCCCCCCTCAAGGAGGGGGGGATGAGGGGGGGGGGGGGGAGGAACGCACGCAAGCAGCAGGAGAATGACAAGGAGGGAGCAGTCAGAGTCGAAGTCGAAGGAGGGTCGAGCGGGGGCGAGGAGCAGGATGTACTTGCGGAGGTCAAGGAAGGGGGAGCAGGAGCGGAGGAGAAGGAGAAGGAATCGACAGGTCGGAGGATGATTCTGGGTCAAGCCTCTCAATGGAAGGAGGGAAGAAGATGTGTCGGCGTCGAAGCCCCAAGACGAGTCGCATGCGAAGGGAAGGAAGGATGGGAAAGGAACGGGAGGTTAGTGAGGGGATGGGGGACTGGGCGGAAGGATGAGGAGGGGGAGGAGGGTGAAGACAATGATGACGATGAAAAGGAGGAGTAAGAATCCGGAGAGGGACAGGGAGGACGGAGGACGAGGCGACGAAATAGGTGGGGAGGAATGGTCGAAATGCGTGCGCAGTCTCCCCCAACACACACACACACACTTGTCTCCAGCGGCCCGGTGACACCACCGCAGCGTGCAGTAAGGCGGGCCGATGAGGAGGGAGGAAGAACACGACGAGAAGCGAAGAAGGAAGGCATAGAACAGAGGTGGGCGAATAAGGACATCAGGGAGAAGGGGGGAGAGACGGAAAGTGGAGAGAGGATGGGCGAGGGGCAGGAGAAGCCAGTGGGCGACGAGGAGTGTACGAATGGCGGAGCAAGGCGGCGAGGCGCACACAGGGCTCCAACGAGAGATGGGTGACGCCTCAGCACCCCACAGCACCACCTAGAGACGACGCCACCAGCGTCAGCGTAAAGACGCGCATGTGGGTGTGCCAATACATGTGGCCACCTGCACGTGCGCGCTGGCGCGCTCGCTTATGCATGTGCGAGGTTGCGGAAGAGTACCCGATGTGACTGGTTTGCGGTACAGAACACAACATGTAGGCGCGGTCGTCGCGATCCATGGTGTGTCCACATGCTGCTTCTCATCATCCTCCTTATCTGGCCTTAGGACAGGACGCTCAACCCGTACTGATGCTATGGCGCACAAAACCCAAGGTCGGTGTATCCTAGTCCTCCCCGCCTCGTCCTTCTCCCGATCCCTCTCATCCGTGGAGGCGGCCACCGCGGCGGCGGTCTCAGCGGCGGTGGCGGCGGCTGTATCGGCAGTCCAGCCAGTCCCCGCAAAGCCGAGGCCGAGGCCATCATGTGCGCCGACGTTGGCATGGGCCATCGAGGACGGCGTGATGGAGCTGGCGGCGCCACCATCTCCACCGCCTGGACAGTGGACGCCGGTGGCATCTCCGAGGCCGGTGCAGCTTCGCAGCAGGAGCCAGTCAGTTGTGAAGCACTTGGAGAAGAAGGAGGTGGGCACGCAGTTGATGGAGATGCCGATGCAGTAAATCGGCGCGAACTCTGTCAGCCACGCCGTGCACCAGGAAAAGAGCAAGAGACCGAGGGCCTCAAGGGTCCTGCAGGATCCGCTGCGGCTCGTCCAGCTTCACCTTCCTGGCCGCCTTCTCCAAGTCCTGCGCCAGGCTCGCCAGCCCCTCGCTCCCGCCCTCCTCCTCAAACACCTCCTCCAGATCAGTCTCTCAAGCATCTCCGTCCAGTCGTACTCCCTCCCCTGTCCTGCTCCCTCTGCCGCTCCTCCTCCCATCCCCCCCTCCCTGTCATCCTCCCTCCTGTCCACACGTCAGATCGACGGCGAGCGGGCCAGCGGGGCGTCGAGGGGCCATCCAGGGCCGACCTGGAGGCTGTCTTGGCGTGCCCCTTCCAAGATCTCGTCTCCTCTTGCCGTGTCCTGTCTGGTCTGGCCGTCCGGGGCCGTCTGTGCGGCGTCTCCGGCCGCGGTCGCCCGTCGGCTGGGCCCGCCCGCCCGCCCTGCGAAGTGTGGGGAAGCCCCTTCCCAGGAGGAGGAGGAGAAAGAGGAGGAGGAGGGAGGAGGAGGAGGAGGAGAAGGAGCAGGAGGAGGAGGGGAGGCGGCGGAGGAGGAGGGTATCGCAACGCGCTCGAACGTCCACGATGGCCAAAAAGACTGCCTCGACTCGCCCCGGAGCCTCTCGAGGATCCACCCGAGAGGCCCCGATGCTTCAAACGCCCAGGGTGTTCCAATTGTTTTGGCACTCGCGCCTTTTGCTCGAGAGGACCGCAGAAGACTGCAAGAGAGCCCAACAGGCCTCAAACATTTCTCCGAGAGAAGCCCAACATTGTCTAAAGAAGTCTTCAACGGTCCCCCAGTTCGAAAGGTCCAATAAGACAATGTGGTTTACGCCTGGGTCGTAGCCTGAAGACATCCATTCTCCCGACGGGGTTCTGATCGAGATTGGCCTCCATCGACGCTGCTGCAGCCAATGCTGGAGCCCCTTTTCCGCCGCCCATGTTCGGAGTTGCAGTTGACTTCCAATACTTGAAGCAGCAATTCTTCGTCATCCAGCGGCGGCTCGCTCGATGAGAGAATGCTGAATGCGATAGGCTCGGGATTCGCAGTGCTGCTGCTGAGTGCACTTGGCACAACGACTATAAAGGCCTAGCACATGCGCCACGCCTGGGTCGGACAAGCACTGGGGAGGAGGACAAGGAGGAGTACATGTATGAGCAGGAGAAAGGACAGCAGCAGCAGCAGCAGCAGGACCAGGATGAAGAGAAGACGCACACACACACACACACACACACACACACTGTGGGGGGTCGTTGCCCCGCGCGAAGCGACGAGGCGGAGTAGACACACGCACGCACGCACACACACACACAAACACACACACACACACACACGCGCACACACACACACACACTCTCTCACACACACGCAGTCCTCACCCGTCCACACGCACACACGCACGCACACACGCACGCACGCACGCACGCACGCACGCAAGCACGCACGCACGCACGCACGCACGCACGCACGCACGCACGCACACACACACACACACGCACACACACGCACACGCACGCACGCACGCACGCACGCACGCACGCACACACACACACACACACATTCACAAACACACACACACACACTCACTGCGGAGGGTCGTTCCCCGCGCGAAGCGACGAGGCGGAGTAGACAGACGCACACGCACACACACACACACACGCGCACACACTCTATCTCTCTCTCTCTCACAGACACGCAATCCTCACCTATCCACGCACGCACGCACGCACGCACGCACGCACGCACACACACACACACACACATTCACAAACACACACACACACACTCACTGCGGAGGGTCGTTCCCCGCGCGAAGCGACGAGGCGGAGTAGACAGACGCACACGCACACACACACACACACGCGCACACACTCTATCTCTCTCTCTCTCACAGACACGCAATCCTCACCTATCCACACACTCACGCACGCACGCACGCACGCACGCACACACACACACACTCACAAGCACACACACACACACACACTCACTGTGGGGGGTCGTTGCCCCACGCGAGACGACGAGGCGGAGTAGGCACGCGCACAGACACGCGCACGCACGTACTCTCCCTCTCTCTCACACACACGCAACCCTCACCCATCCACGAACACACACACACACACACACACACACACACGCGCACCCACGCACGCACGCACGCACGCACGCACGCACACACACACACACAGTCGGGGGTCGTTGCCCCGTGCGAAGCGACGAGGCGGATTAGACACACGCACACACACGCGCACACACTCTATCTCTCATACACGCAATCCTCACCCATCCACACACACACACACGCACGCACGCACGCACGCACGCACGCACGCACACACACACACACACACACACACGCACACGCACACGCACGCACGCACGCACGCACGCACGTACGCACACACGCACACACGCGCACACGCGCACACGCGCACACGCGCACACGCACACGCACACGCACACACACACACACACACCTGGCGGTTGCAGCCTCACGCGCAGCGACGAGGCGTAGAAAGTCGAGTACCAACACACGCAGACCCCGCGCGCGCGGGGCCCTCAGAGCTGTAGGCCCCGCGCCGTAGGCCACCCGGGCGTGGGTGCCCCGGTGAAAAGGAACGAGGGACGGGGAGAAAGCGACGGACCGTGGGGGGAGGGCGACAGCCAGGCGCAAGAGCACGGCAAGCACGCGCTCGACCGCGAGGATGCAGGAGGAGGAGGCGAAATGGTACCACCGTCGGAGAGGCGAAACCCGGGCGGCGCCAGCGCCGTGGCGGAGGGCGCCTGTGGGGCCCGAGACGGGAGGCACTTCTGGATAGTGGACTCCTCGACGAGGTCTCGCGCAGCTGACTGAAGAACCCACGCGGGCACCGAGTCGAGTAAACGGTTGAGGTGCGGACTCGACACACGCACACTCGCACACCGAGCTTGACCGCAGACCACGGGGGAGGAGGAGGGGGAGGGGAAAGGATGCACCCGCAGGGTGGAGAAGGGGAGTGGAGGAGGGGGAGAGGACAAGCTAGGTGCGCGCGCGTCATATCTGACGTCCTACCCCTCCCTCCCATCCCTTACCATGGCGCTGATTTTCTCTATCCGCGGACTAGTGGGTGGTGGTGCGCGTGCGTGCGTGCGTGCGTGTGTGCGTGGTTGTGGTGGTGGTGGTGGGTGGTGGTGGTGGTGGTGGTGGTGGTGGTGGTGGTGGTGGTGGTGGTGGTGGTGGTGGTGGTGGTGGTGGTGGTGGTGGTGTGGTGGTGGTGGTGGTGTGGTGGTGGTGGTGGTGGTGGTGGTGGTGGTGGTGGTGGTGGTGGTGGTGGTGGTGGTGGTGTGGTGTGTGCGTGTGTGCGCGTGTGCTGTGGCATGGCACGGGAAATGACGCCAGCGCTGCAGCGGGAGCACGAGTCGAAACGGGCGGAAGCGCGGAAATGAGGCCAGCGGGAGCAGCACGAACGAGCGGAAGCACGGAAATGAGGCCAGCGCTGCAGCGGGAGCACGATTCGGAACGAGCGGGGCCCGAAAATGAGGCCGGCGCCTCGGCGAGAGCAGCATTTTGAAAAAAAGCACAAGCGAAAACCCGTTTCCCGGGAATCCTGTGTGTAAAAAATTATAGCCGGAGTGCAGTATCCCCAAACAGGGTTTTTAGACCCACTGCGGTTTCCAAGGTCGATTCCGTGCCCGTCCAGTGCGGGCTGGCATGGCATGTTTAAACACGCCTTCTCCTCCTCCTCCTCCTCCTCCTCCTCCTTCTCCTCCTGCTCTTCCTCCTCCTCCTCCTCCTCCTCCTCCTCCTCCTCCTCCTCCTCCTCTTCATCCCGAACGGCATCTCGGAGCCCAGAGTTGCGAGGATGTCTCCAGCGTAACGGGCTGGACCACCTCGCGCGCGGCATCTCGGACCCCAGAATTGCGACGATGTCTCGGGCGAAACGTGCTGCGAGGAAGTCTCAGGCGAAACGGGCTGGACCACCTCGAGCGCGGCGTTTCAGAGCTCCGAGTTGCGGGGGCCTCCTGGTGCCTCCTGGGACCTCCTGGTGGCCTCCTGGGGCTTCCTCCTGGGCCTCCTGTGGCCTCCTAGACCCCACCTGGGGCTTCCTGAAGCCTCTTGGGGCTCCTAGGGGGGATATCTAACATGTGGCCGTCGGGGCCCCCCAAAATTGGGGGGGGGGCACAAGAGCAGGAAAAATCAACGAATCGACACCGGATGTGTATTAACTTGACACGTTCTGAGAGGGGGCCTCCTGGGGCCTCCTGGGAGCCTCCTGGGAATCTCCTGGGGGCCCCTGGGGCCTGTCCTGGGCGTCCTGCGGCCTCCTGAAGCTCTCTGGGGCCTCCTCGGAGCCACATGTGGTCTTCTGGGCCCCCAGGCTGGACCACCTCTTGCGCAGCATCTGAGAGCTCAGAGTTGCGAGAATGTCTTGTGCGAAACGGGCCGGACCACCTTGCGCACGGCATCTCAGAGCTCAAAGTTGCGAGGATGTCTCAGGCGAGATGGGCCGGACCACCTCGTGCAGGGCATCTCAGAGCCCAGAGTTGCGAGGATGTCTCCAGCGTGACGGCTGGACCACCTCGCGCGCGGTATTTCGGACCCCAGAATTGCGACGATGTCTCGGGCGAAACGTGCTGCGAGGAAGTCTCAGGCGAAACGGGCCGGACCACCTCAAGCGCGGCGTCTCAGAGCTCTGAGTTGCGGGGGCCTCCTGGTGCCTCCTGGGACCTCCTGGTGACCTCCTGGTGACCTCCTGGGGCTTCCTCCTGGGCCTCCTGTGGCCTCCTGGACCCCACCTGGGGCTTCCTGAAGCCTCTTGGGGCTCCCAGGGGGGTATATCTAACATGTGGCCGTCGGGGCCCCCCAAAATGGGGAGGGGGCCACAAGAGCAGGAAAAATCAACGAATCGACACTGGATGTGTATTAACTGGACACGTTCTGATAGGTGGCCTCCTGGGGCCTCCTGGGAGCCTCCTGGGAATCTCCTGCGGACCACTTGGGCCTGTCCTGGGCGTCCTGCGACCTCCTGAAGCTCTATGGTGCCTCCTGGGGCTCCCAGGGTTCCAGGGGGGATAGGTAACATGTGGTCTTCTGGGCCCCCAGGCTGGACCACCTCTT